ATATTTATCTATGCATGTGTCTATATGTAAAAACGTGTGTGAGCTTTGTTGTTTCTTTAATTGCTCTCATTCCTCGTTACGCAGAACTACATTAATTTGGCTCTGAATATAGTCATGTTGGTCAGTAAGCAAGGCACTGGCTACTAGAGTCTTATAACTCCAGCAATCATTGACTGTTCTTGTTCATGCTGGCTGAGTTCAGAAGCTTAATTTATCTGTTAGCACGGTCACTCCTGTGCCAGTAACATAACACCTATCCTTTATGTAATCCTTCCCTTGCTTCAGCCAGCTGATGAAAAGCCAAAAAGAACAACTTTTGATGGAACTGGATGTAAGTTAAAGCAGGGAAGTAGAAGTATGTTGGAAACGGAATAAAATGTGTTTTCATTGTGGAGGAAGTTTTATTATGCAATATGAAAAATATTCATTAAAAAAATGATGTGCTGCCCTTTGTAGTTTGAATGGGAGAAAAGGGTTAGTAGAAATCTGGGTCAGTAGTTTAAATAATCTTACAGATGATAATGAGATTTAAGCCTTTCGTGTTGGAATTACAAAAGCAATCATAATTAGGCACTTCCACGTTGAAAAATGTTTTTAAAGTACTCCAGTATTTGTATTATTTGGGGACTGTCTTTACATTTGAACATAAGCAAAGCAGTTCAGGCAGATCACCTAATTTTGTTAACTGACTGTGTCCTATTGAACCAAGCCAGTACCTGGAATATCTTACTTTCTGGCATTGGGGTTGCTGCAACTACAATGCATTAACTTAAACAATGAAGAAATACAGTAACTAAATCTCATATTCAGAGAACAACACTGTCATATATGAAATAATTGCTGAGGCATTCATTACATTAAGTCTGCAGCTTGTTTTTATATACTGCAGTATGAGGTTGAGCAAGTGGTCCCTAGGGACTTGGTATTCTGCACAGTGGCTCTCCGTCTTCCCCCCTTTCCCCCCCTCCCCCTTCTTTTTTTTTAAAGCTAGCGCCAGCTACATCAGCGTGCTATGCAGGACAGCATGCAGCATGTCATCTGACTCAAGTATTAGTTTCATGGTACAGGAGGAAATGAAGCGTTTGATTCCAAAAGTTTTCACTTCTTCGGTGTAATGGTGAGCATATTGTTGCCGGGTTTGGGGATTTTTTGGACATGATGTTATAATTAAGTTAAGGAAGTGAATCTATATTCCTTAGATTTTGAGTATTTGCTACAGGTCCATTCGATTAGACAGTCCGGAGACTGCAAAAACAAGGCCAGCTCCTCCTCTGTTGCCCTTTTGGGGGGAGGAGGAGGGAGTCAGGAGTGGTATAGGCATAAAGTGACGATTATTACAACTACATAGGTTTGTCTATATTACTGTGCTGCTTGGTTCTTTCTAAGCAATTTAATTTATGGTGGTAAATTTACTGATACAGAAGATGCCTTCTAAAGTTTAATGTTGCTAAGTCATCCTCAGTTAAGTATGTGGCATAAAGGTTTATATTTAGCACTTCAGTGCAGCAATGAAGTTAGAAATAGAAAATTGCTTTCTCAGTTGACTGCAAATAATTAAAATTTAGAAGTTAGCATATAAGTCATTGCTTCAGTATATGATTTTTCAAGTGTGTGTTTCTGACAAAGAATTAAACAAGCTGGTTTCACTGTATAAATTAGTATTCCCTTTTCCATAATGTTTTCTTGTGCTTTAGCAACATATATTCACATTTCTCAGCAATTTCTAGGAGAGAGGAGAAACTCTTAGATCTTGGAAAAATGAAATCTTTATACCACCATGGTGACACAGCAAATCAAACTTCTTTTATGCATTTCTGTAACTTGATATTTGATCTGCATTACCTTTGCGGAGAATGCATATTCCATGACTATATGCACACAAGATCATGTCAAGTTCAGAAGGTGAGATAATTTTGGAGGCGGTTTGTTTAAGTCTCAGAATCTCCAAGTATGATGGGGACAAGATGCTGGAGTTGTTAGTGAGGAAACTGTGCATAGGATACAAGAAGCTGCACAGTTCTCCCTCAGTACCATTCCCAGCTGTATAGTAATGTGCAGGGGACTTCTTGCATCCTCCTCACTTGTTTCGGATTGCTGCGTTTAGCTGTGATTCCAGCTTTCTGTTTGCAGTTATGGAAAGTGCAAAGTGTAATCTCCAAGCATGATCCCTGAGCATCAAAATACTAAGAATATGAATATCTACTCAGTACCCACCTCACCTGGTTTTCCTTCCAACAGGAATGGTTATTTCGGGCTGTAGGTTGGTATTTAGTATTTCGCTGACTGGAATTCAACTTTTATTCCACGAGGTTTTCTCCTATGGGACAGTTGGTAGTATATTGTACCGTTTCGTGTGTGTGCTTGTTTTTCAGTATTTTGCTGTTCTGGTGCTGTTGCTTTATCTAGAACTGCTTGCAAGTCTAGGCAGATAGTAGAAGCAGAAGCACATGAGAATAACACTGAAATGGGATTTAAAAGGAAGCTTGAGTGTATGGAAGGTTTATGTGGAGGAATAAAGGAGGAAAATAGAGGCTTCTAGGGAAGATAAGGTGTTTATTTTTCCCTCTGCTCTCCTGAGCATTTTAAACACAATGTTTAAAAAGAAAAAAACTAGGCATTGTAAACTGGCAAAACTGTGGGATACATTTTGCATGAAGATACTGTGGAAGCGTTTCCTCTCCCTGTCTACCACCTATACGTGTATGTCTTCCTACTGTTCTCCTTTTCATCTTCACTCCTGATTTTCTGTATCCTTTTAGCAGTGCCTTTCTCACAGGTATAAACTGTGCAACCAAAAGGGTCAGGCTTAGCTTTTTAAAATGCATCTTTAGTGATCAGTTGATTCTTGAACTTTTATCCTGAGACTCTTGGCTAAATCCTAAGGGATAGAGTGCAGTAAATGTGGCAGTGCAGAGTTTGCAAAACCTTGGATATACAATAATGCAACAATGTGACTTGTAGTGTGAATGTATCTATGTGTTTCGTGGAATCATTTTGACCTCTAATTAATGTATTTATAGGAATGGATTTATACCTAGTAATAACTTTTGTTGCTTTTTAATGCGTAGTTACCATGCAAAAAGAAAAATACGTCTGCTAAGATATGTTTACTGTATTGATGTTTTTCTATAAGATGAATATTCTTTTTAGTAAGTTATATGTTCTTTTTTCTTTTTTTTCCCCTTTTTTCCTTTCCCCCCCCCCCCCGTGGTTTTGTTGTTGTGCAGAGCTCTGGGATTGAAACATTAGTGGAGGAGCTTTGCTCCAGACTGAAAGACCTTCAGAGTAAGCAAGGTGAGGAATAAATCTTTAAACTTCTGAGGCCATATATTGTATTTATCAACTGTGTAACATTCTGAGATGTGGGGGTGGGGGAGCAGGCTATTAATTCAGTAGCTTTTAATACAGGCCATGCAATTTTAAAATACATTTGAATAATTTCATGCAAATAGTTTAAGCAATTCTGTACTAGTATGCCTTGTTTACCTAAGAAATAGCCATTCACAAATGGAGTTTTCCTCATGAAAAGCTATAACTGTTCTTATCCAGCTATGCCTGCTTTTTTAGTAAATATTCCATATTCAGCATCCCCCTCCCCACCAAAAGAAGTCAAAATAAATTATTGTATTTTGTGTATTGATACTTGCAAAGACTAGATTGGCCTCAAAATTGTTATATACTAGCTATTCCTGTGAAAAGCATCCAAGTAGCCCTTACAGAGAGGTGTGCTTAAAATTTCCAGGCTTTAGGGGAATGATAATGGGGACTTTATATTGTCAAGCGTAGGGCAGGGAGCATAATACAAAATTGTGATGTCTCCAATGAAAGTTCATTGCATATAAATGTTTGTTCAGGTGCATAGCAGCTGCCTTTGACACTTACAGTAAAATTAATATGCTTATCGTGTAGTATAAATAGCAGTAAATAAGGGATAAATATTTACCTGCTTAAAGCATGATTTTAGCTGTTTCCATTCCCTTTTTCTGTTTTTAAACAGTAGTTACTAGTCAGCTCTTAGTATTTCGTAGTGCTATGCTGTGACACTTTCTTACTGAGCCAAGGTGATTTTGACTATTTATTTTGGATAAAAAAGTAAAATTAGTGTGTATCTCACAGCATTTTTTTGGTATTTTACAGATTTTAATATAAAGAATTAGAAATCTTTAGAGTCACCTCTCACACAGGAAATACGCCTTCACACCCACCCAAAGCACAGCAACTACTGCAGGGGTACTTCCTTTTAGTGAAATACATGAGAAGTTAGATGCAACCATTCATAAAAATATTTAGTTAAATAGCTGATTTTTTTAAAAAATCTTTTTTTTATATGTAGCAATGCAAGAAGGAGATAAGGATTTGGATATGAAATAACTACAAATTCAATAGGAAGTCTCCTAGTGGGGGCATTTCTAACCATGAAGTTGCATGCAGCTGCTAGCCAGTCATGTTGGTGAAATTTGCAGGGCTTAACAAGGCAACTGTGGAAAACTTGAATCTTGGCTGGTAACTTATAATTTCTTTATGTATAATAACCAGACTATAAATTATTCTGTTATTTACAGTGTTTTATGGAAATTTACTACTATTACAGGTATACATCCTGGAGCTTTTTGTTAAATACTGTTACAAAATACACTGGTTTTTTGAATTTTTCTGTTAAGCATTTGGAATTTTCTTCCAAAACAGAGGAGAAGATTCACAAAAAGTTAGAAGGCTCTTTGTCTCCTGAGACTGATTTATCTCCCACAGCAAAGGATCAAGTAGAAATGTATGCATTTTTTATTATTATTATCTGAGATGCTTTTCTCTTTTCTCCTTTTACTCCCATATTTTGACACAGTGAAGTTAACTTAGTGGGGAAACTGGAGTTTTGTGGATATTAAGAAATACATTTTTTTCCTGCCATCTTCTTTTGTTCATCTTATATATTTAAATATAAGCATTTGGTACCATAGGCTAGTTTAATTTCTGGCAAAGTCCCGACTGATTTCTTTTGACTATATGCAGAACTCAAACCGTACTGTATTTTAGTTTCCTGAAGACCAAGTCAACTAGACAAATGAAAAGCCTTTAAAACGGCAGTAATTGACACGTTAGACTTGCAGGGAGAGAATCAGTTTCCTGGGTTCATAGAATCATAGAATAGTTTGGGTTGGAAGAGACCTTTAAAGGTCATCTAGTCCAACCGCCCTGCTGTGGGCAGGGACATCTTCAACTACATCAGGTTGCTCAGAACCCTGTCCAGCCTGACCTTGACTGTTTCCAGGGATGGGGCATCTACCACCTCTCTGGGCAACCTGTTCCAGTCTTTCACCACCCTCGTTGTAAAAAAGGTCTTCCTTACATCTAGTCTAAATCTACCCTCTTTTAGTTTAAAACCATTCCCCCTTGTCCTATCTGGTTCAGAACTCTTTGTCTTCTGTTGCAGAAATGGGAAACTGAAACTCTTTTATAACCTTTAAACTCTTTATAACCAAAGTGGTCTACTAGTTACCAAGTACCTGAGTACAGTGTTACTGAAGTACCCAGGAGTTTTATCATTGACTTCTCTTGGAGATATGACTGCTTCTGTATCTCTTAATAATAACCATTGCTAGCAACAATCTAGTAGAAGTGTTGCTAAATAGATTATACTTCAGGGAATAGATTGTGCTAATGTGGATTTAACTTAACTGACTTCCGAATGTTTTTTAATAGGTTTTCATTTAAATATATGCGATTCAGTATAAATCTCTTTACTGTCAAACACATACTACTTTAAACTTGCAGAAAACCGTATTTTAATTTTGTCCCTGTTGCACAAAGCTGTTAAGCATCTTAAACTACTCAAGAACTAATCTTTTTTTGCAACAGCTTTTTCTTAATAACTGGACGATCAGACTATGTAGAACTTAACAGATAGTGTCTCATTTCACAAAGGAGAATTTAAAAAACTGAAATTCAGGACTGAACTGACTGAAATTCAGGACTTCTTCATTTATCCTCTAAATCAAACATGTTTAAGACGACTGTAGTGAATTACTACATTATCTAATAAATCTGGAGTCGGGCCTTCGCTGTTTTAAGCATCCACAATTTGTGTCTACAGTGAAGTTTAGTACTCCCTAAAAATGGGATTGTTTTACTTGGCAGTGTATTTTTAAACATACTAATGTAAGCACTTTTAAAGCTTATCTTAATCTCCCCTTTGTTATAATTCAAATAAACAGTGCAGTGAGTGGCATGTGCATATGTAGAGCAAACTAGATTTTTTGGCAATTAGATTGGTAGTGTTTTGATGCGTTTTTAGTAATACTTTCTAATCTTAATGCCTGTCTGAAGTTCTGTGATCTGAATGTCACCTTTCTGTTTTGCTTTCAGGTACTATGAAGCATTTCCTCCTCTTTCTGAAAAGCCAGTTTGCCTGCAGGAAATTATGACTGTATGGAATAAATCCAAAGTATGCTCTTACTCTAGCTCCTCATCTTCATCCACTGCTCCACCAACTAGCACGGATACATCTTCTCCAAAGGACTGCAATAGCGAAAGTGAAGTAACTAAAGACAGAAGTAATAAAGTATCTGGCACTGTACAGGAAAGAACCCAACAGAAGAAAAGTAAAAATGAGAAAGAAAACAAGTTTAGTAACAACACTGTTGAAGAGAAGCCTGCTTTGTACAAAAAGCAAGTCCGACATAAGTCTGAAGGAAAGATGCGTCCTCGCTCCTGGTCATCTGGATCCAGTGAGGCTGGCTCAAGTTCTAGTGGTAATCAAGGTGAATACAAGGCATCAATGAAATGTATTAAAGTAAGACACAAAACAAGAGAGGTTCGAAATAAAAAAGGGCGTAACGGGCAAAGCAGGCTTTCAGTGAAATCTGGTGAAAAGGCTGATAGAAAAGTCCACAGCGGAAGCAGTAGCAGCAGTAGCAGCGGGTCCATCAAACAGCTGTGCAAAAGAGGTAAAAGGCCATTAAAAGAAATTGGAAGAAAAGAAGCTGGCGGTAGCGATGGAAGAGATTTGTATTTAGACAGCAGAAATGAAAAGGAATATAAAGAAGAACCCTTGTGGTATACTGAGCCGATTACAGAGTACTTTGTTCCTCTTAGCAGAAAAAGCAAGCTGGAGACTACGTACCGCAACAGGGAAGATATATGTGGCGTAACATCAGAGGCTGTAGAAGAGTTGTCTGAATCAGTGCATGGTCTTTGTATTAGCAACAATAATATTCATAAAACATACCTCGCAGCAGGTACTTTCATCGATGGTCACTTTGTAGAAATGCCTGCAGTTCTAAATGAGGATATTGACCTCGCTGGGACCTCAATATGTTCTCAACCAGAGGACGACAAATATTTAGATGATATTCATCTGTCAGAACTAACACACTTCTATGAAGTGGATATTGATCAATCCATGTTGGATCCTGGTGCCTCAGATACGATGCAAGGGGAGAGTCGGATTTTAAATATGATTCGACAAAAGAGTAAAGAAAAAACTGATTTTGAGGCAGAATGTTGCATAGTGTTAGATGGAATGGAGTTGCAAGGGGAAAGTGCAATATGGACAGATTCGACCAGCTCTGTTGGTGCTGAAGGGTGGTTCTTGCAAGACCTTAGTAATTTAGCTCAATTTTGGGAGTGCTGTTCATCTTCTAGTTCTGGTGATGCAGATGGGGAAAGTTTTGGAGGAGATTCTCCGATCAGATTCTCCCCCATCTTAGACAGCACAATGCTTAATTCACACATGCTTGCTGGCAATCAAGAGCTCTTTTCAGATATTAATGAAGGGTCTGGTATAAACTCTTGTTTTTCAGTGTTTGAAGTGCAATGCAGTAACTCTGTTTTACCATTTTCTTTTGAAACACTCAATTTGGGAAATGAAAATGCAGATTCTAGTAGCACTGCTAATATTCTTGGGAAAACACAGTCTAGATTGCTAATATGGACCAAAAATAGTGCCTTTGATGAAAATGAACACTGTTCCAATCTTTCAACAAGAACCTGTAGTCCATGGTCACACTCGGAAGAAACACGGTCAGACAATGAGACTTTAAATATTCCATATGAAGAATCCACGCAATTTAATGCAGAAGATATCAATTATGTAGTTCCTAGAGTGTCTTCGAGTTATGTAGATGAAGAAATTCTAGATTTTTTGCCAGAAGAAACCTGCCAGCAACAAGCTAGAACTTTAGGAGAAATGCCCACTTTGATTTTCAAAAAAAAATCTAAGCTAGAATCTGTCTGTGGTATTCAGCTAGAAGAAAAAGCGGAAAGTAAAGACTATGAAACTACACAAGGGTGTAGTGAAAGCAGTCCACATGGAGATGGCTACAGCTCAGGGGTTATTAAAGATATTTGGACAAATATGACAGACAGAAATTCTGCAGCGATGGTAGAAATAGAAGGAATAGAAGATGAATTGTTTTCAACTGATGTAAATAACTATTGCTGCTGTTTGGATACAGAAGCAAAAGTTGAAACCCTCCAGGAGCCCAACAAAGCAGTGCAGAGATCAGAGTATCATCTTTGGGAAGGTCAAAAGGAGAATTTAGAGAAGAGAGCCTTTGTCTCGAATGATTTATCAAAAGTAGATGGTGGTGACTATACTACACCATCAAAACCTTGGGATGTTAACCAGGATAAAGAAAACTCATTTATACTTGGTGGTGTGTATGGGGAGCTCAAAACATTTAACAGTGATGGAGAATGGGCAGTGGTGCCACCTAGTCACTCAAAAGGGAGCTTATTACAATGTGCAGCTTCTGATGTAGTGACAATAGCTGGTACAGATGTTTTTATGACTCCAGGTAATAGCTTTGCCCCTGGTCATAGGCAATTATGGAGGCCATTTGTATCATTTGAACAGAATGAGCAATCAAAGAGTGGAGATAACGGATTAAATAAGGGTTTTTCTTTTATCTTCCATGAAGACTTACTGGGAGCTTGTGGTAACTTTCAAGTTGAAGAACCAGGGCTTGAATACTCATTCTCTTCCTTTGACCTGAACAATCCATTTTCACAAGTTCTTCATGTAGAGTGTTCGTTTGAGCCAGAAGGAATTGCATCTTTCAGCCCTAGTTTTAAACCTAAGTCAATTCTGTGCTCTGATTCAGACAGTGAGGTTTTACACCCCAGGATATGTGGTGTTGATCGAACGCAGTACAGGGCTATACGGATTTCTCCCAGGACTCACTTTCGCCCAATTTCTGCATCTGAACTTTCTCCAGGTGGTGGAAGTGAGTCAGAATTTGAGTCAGAAAAAGATGAGGGAAGTACTGCTGTCCCTTCTCAAGTAGATGTATTTGAGGATCCACAAGCAGATCTCAAACCTCTGGAAGAAGATGCAGAAAAAGAAGGGCATTATTACGGAAAATCAGAGCTTGAGTCTGGAAAATTCCTTCCCAGATTAAAAAAGTCTGGAATGGAGAAGAGTGCACAAACATCATTGGATTCCCAAGAAGAGTCGGCTGGGATGTTGCCAGTAGGAAACCAAGATCCCTGTTTAGAATGCAGTATGAAGGAATCTCTAGATGGGAGGGCGATGGAGAGCTCCAAAGTCAACTGCAGAATAGTGGAGCCACGTGAGGAGACTAGCAGGTTTTGCAGTTGCAAAGCAGGGTGCCATTTCCCCACGTACGAGGATAATCCTGTTTCTTCAGGAGAGCTTGAAGAGGTATGTGGATATATAAAATTATGGAATTTGCAGCTGGCAGCTGATAACCAGCGATTTGTCATGTGACAGTTCAATTTAAATGTTTGTAATTGTGTAGTTCTCTAGATAAATACAGTTTTGTAGAAACACTGGAGGTTCCATCTGAACATAAGGAAAAACGTTTTTACAATAAGAGTGACCTAGCGCTGGCACAGGTTGCCCAGGAAGGTGGTAGAGTCTCCATCCTTGGAGGTATTCAAGACATCTGGACATGGTCCTGGGCAACCTGCTCTAGATGGCCCAGCTTGAGCAGTGGGAGTTGGACATGATGACCTCCAGAGTTCCCTTTGAACCTCAATCGTTCTGTGATTCTGTGAAAAATGAACCATCTTCAGGCATTACGGTGTCATCTTGCTTACCTTTAGAAATATATGCGTGTGTACACTCATGTGACTTTAAAATCTGTTTACCTTAGTTTTTTAGCTTATCTGATTTACATATAATGTGTTAAAATGTGCATAAAGTTTGAGTAATGAGATATTACTGATTTTGATTCAAACCTATTTTAAAATTTTGAAGACGAAGATCTGAAGTCAGTCTTTGCAATATGAGTTACAGTTACTTCCAAATAGAGGAATTTGGAGTTGAATTATTGGATGTAAACTTCAGGAAAGAAAGGTTTGTAGAAAGGCATAATTGTCTGGAAATTAAAATGTTCTCTCGCCAGCATAGACATAAAAAAAAAAGAAGACATGGATGCAAAATATCCATCACTACCATGGTACTGTAAGGAGGCCTAACTGGAACTATGAGTTAAGCTTGGAGTTTTCTTTCAGGTTGTTGTAGCCATAGGTTAAGTAATGATCAAGAGCAAAAAACCCTTCCAGCCAAAAATATCCAAGTTGTTCTTGCTGTGAGCTCCCTCTGCTCTTTAGAAGCAATATTTGACCAGCAAAATGAAGGTCCTTGAATGTGTCCAGAGGAGGGCAACAAAGCCGGTGAAAGGGCTGGAAGGAATGTCCTATGAGGAGCGGCCAAGGACTTTGGGCTTATCTAGTTTGGAGAAAAGGAGGCTGAGGGGCGACCTCATTGCTCCCTACAGCTTCCTGAGGCGGAAAAGTGGAGAGGGAGGTGCTGATCTCTTCTCCCTGGGATCCAGCGACAGGACGTGTGGGAATGGTTCAAAGCTGCGCCAGGGGAGGTTCAGACTGGACATCAGGAAGCGTTTCTTTACCTAGAGCATGGTCGAACACTGGAACAGGCTTCCTACAGAGGTGGTTGATGCCCCAGTCCTGTCAGTGCTTAAGAGGCATTTGGACAATGCCCTTAACAACATGCTTTAACTTTTGGTCAGCCCTGAATTGGTCAGGCAGTTGGACTAGATGATCATTGTAGGTCCCTTCCAACTGAAATAGTCTAGTCTATTATATTCTAAAATAGTTTCGTTGTGCGGCCAGCCCAGAGATGTTGTCTGGATAGTTATAAGTTGCATCTTACGTTTTCTTTTCCTCTTCAGCCTCCTTTTCCACATAGTCAGCAGTTGTAGTATCTACATTAGGAGGGAATTTTTTTCATTTTCAGCTGAAGAGTTGCACCCAGCTTGTGTTGTGCGATTGTATACTCCTCAATTACAAGTTTGAAACACTAATTCACGTATGGGAAAGCTAACCTTTTTCTTGCTAAAACTAAAGCTAATCTTTTTGTTGAACAAAATCAGAGTTCCTTATTTTCCTTCTTCCCCATTTGTTTCTCCTCTCATCCCCCTTTAAATTAATTGCTATTGCAACTCCTTTTCCCAATGTCAATAAGTTGATGTCTGCTGCTTGCATAAGAGAATCAAATCTATGACTTTTCCAGGCCCTTTCTAGACATCTTGGTTCCTGTTGCTCTGTTAAGTTAACGGCGATGAAGTGGCTCAAAATCTTTTCTGGAGTCTGCGAAGTTTCTGGGTTTGTGCCAGGCCTTGCAAAAAGAGTCACCAAAAAAATTAATAAACTTAGACTGTAAGTCAGAACAGATTCTGGAATTTACCTTTTGCCAGGAGTAAGCAGAATCTAACTTCATCATGCAGTAGGGCATAATGAATGAACAAATGGTATAACACATTATTTGTGACTGCAAGAGTCTAAAGTTCATTCCAGCCCTTTTCAGATCTCTTTTCTGGATGCTTAGTGCTCCATGAGGATATTTATTCTTATCTTCGCTTCAACCACTGATCCATTCAAGAAAGTAGTAAGTGGCTGGTATAAGATAAGTTTACAGTGGTTCCATAGTTTATGGTAGGTATGAGGTTGGAAAAAAAACTTTGGTACTGAATAGTGTTCAAAAAGCGCTGGTATTTTATTTTCTTTAAGTTCCTTAGTGCAAGAGGAAAACTAACTGCTTCCCTTGCTCAGGTCACATGATTTTGTAGGCATTTTCATCGCTTCAAAAATATAAGCCACTAAGAAGTACAAAGGGCCAACAACCGTCTCAGCAGTCTAGACTCCAATTTGGTTTGCAATTAAGCTCTTCCTAGGGGACCTGAGGAGCCTGATTACAACCTAAACTCAGAAAGACTGGGTTAACTAGCCCTCCTGTATTTCGCCTGTCTCAAGAGGATGTGTGCGCACTCTGGGCTTTTCTAAGAGCCATTAGTGTGCGTCTGAAGATAATAGGCTTTTTGGCTTGAGAACATTTATCCAAATTTATTATTGTAGTTAAGTGTATCTGTAAAAGAAGAGGGGGTTTTAAGCATTAAAACAATTTTAATATGTTGGTTATGAAGTAAACTTTAATCAGTAAATATGGTAATTATATTGTGTGCAGGAAGGGTGCAAATGTCATGCAAGTATGTCTTCTGTGTGCAAACTTTTTTCTTTTTGAGTGATATTATTTATTTTCATGAGCGCTAAACAAAATCAATATAAAATACCTAGAATTAGAATGGCTTAGGAGGAGCATTCTTCCTGGATACCCCACGCGTCATGCATGGGAAAAAGAGTTTTAACTTGAGCAGAGGCTATGGAATTGACTGATTAGTATAGGTCAATATTTGTAAAGGATTTTTTTTAAACGAAACTTTTGTGCTTCCTTTTACTGTCTTACAATAGAAATTAAAGTTATTGTTTAACTCACTGTTATCTGACATAAAGTTTGAGTTGTGTTCTGAGGTACCTCCAATAGTTTTGCGTAAATAATAGTGTGAAAATACTAATGTAGACCACAGTGTAATAGTAAAACATTCTGTTTTGCAACACATAAACTTGAATTATATACGTGCTGTGCAAACACACATCTTTGAATACCTCCTATTTATAAGACTGTAGGAGAATCTGGTTCAGTTTCCTCCCTCTTACCTTCTATATTAAGCCACTTCTTTTAGACTTGCAGCATATTTCGCTGCAGGAGCTATCAGCAAATTCCTTCTGAAGTTCTTAAAGGGTGAATGATAATTATATACCTAGCCTTAAGATTACCCCCCCCCAAACCAACCAAACAAAAAACACCCCCCCCAACAACAACAACAAAAGCCCACAAAAAATACCTGCAGAAGTACAGTCCTTTTTCTTCCAAGTAAATGCTCTTACCGCTTAGCTATGGAGTCATGGGTAAGTACACAATCTGGTCCATTTAATGGTCTCTGAATATAACAACATTGAATCTCTTATGAACAAATGTTATATGGGCTCTGATCTAGTAGGTGTGCCCTAAGAATGCTTATACTGTTGAGTCCTTGACATAGATAAAGGACTTGTGGGTTTTGTTGGAATCAGTACCAAACTTTTGAGGTCTGAACATGCCTAATGCATTTGGGGATGAGGAAATTTTACTGGCAAAAACTGTAAGTGTTTATGGATCTCATGACTTAATTGGCCCATTAGATTTGGTGAGGTACTTTGCTTGACTGGAGTAATGCAATGTAAGTGTATAACTCCCTTAGGAAGGGCTGTCAAGAGGAAGGGAAGAGGGGTGCCTTGCATACATTGGTTCTGAGGTCAATAATGTAGGACAGAACCTGCCATAAGCCTGGGTAGTGATAAGGCGGAGACAAAATTCAGAGGGGTCTGCTTTATGCCTTAAAATCAGGAGAATCAAGTGGGAAAAATATTCAAGAGCATGTAGAGTCGTCCACATACAAAGCAAAGGACTTAATTGTAAAAAAGAGAGTAACTTTGGGGCTATCTGAGAAAGGATTGGTCCAGGCGGTTCTTGATACGTGCCGATGGTGGCGGATGATGAAAACACCTACAAAGACTCTGAGCTCTAGTTTTCTAATTAGTAAGACATTCATTTGCTGAGATTTTGAAGGATGAAAGTATCTTGTATGAGAGGGACCTTAAAAAGATGGAGTTCACAATGACAGTATAAAAATCATGAGGAAAAAACCCAAGGTATAAAGTAAGCCAATAAAACAAAGATTCGGTACACCTGAAAGTCCTAGAAGTAAACCAGAAACAGAAAAAATGACTGAAGGATATTTCTGAGAGACAGAACTAACAAGCTTGGAAAGCTATGAAAAGATAATGTCAAAAAGGTACTGTTTAGTGCTTTTTTTTTTGTCATTTGAATTGGTGAAAAGACAATTAAGCAAAGGAGTAGTACAGATAAATTGCACTGTTTCAGCTAGTCATAGGAATATTCAGCTAAATATCATGAGGAGCAGCAACTGATTTGAAAAATGCCTAGTAGAATACTTGTTTGAGAACACACAGAAGATAGAAAATATATAAAAGGCAAACACATTTCCATCTTTTTAAAGAGGAAAATGGAACCTGGGTTATTACCAATGACTCTCTTAAATTTCCTAAATAAATGTTTTAACCAGTAAATGGCATGGATGCCTGGGAAAGTGAGAAAGTTTCTGAGTATTGGTTTGGCAAAAAGATAGCACACTCAAAATAACAGTCAGTGGCTTACTAGACGACAAGGGAGATGATTAATTTTTTGTGATCTGGGGAGTAAAATACATGTTTATGAAAATCCCTGATGGTATCAAACTGGGAAAGTCTGCAGTTACACTGGAAGACAGGATTAGAATC